CTGGGTTTTTTTACCTACTCGCTGTTCTTCACGATTTCAGGGATTTTTTTACGAAGTGCAAAAGTTCACTTCGTAAAAAATAACACAAAAATAGTGTATTTTAAACGAAGTGCAAAAGTTCACTTCGTTTAAAAATAACAGTTATATAATGAAATTTGGTCATTTTTTTCATGTCAGAAGACTCGAAGGTGCAACACTTCCAAAATACCGACGAACTCAGAAGAGCAGCATGGCAGTATGTTCTTGACAACTTCTTTGAGTTCTCCAGGTACACCTTGGAAAATGCTGAAGAACTCCGACACAGAGAATTTGGAGAAATTGCGCTCCAATACTACCTTGACAAACAAAGGGTAAAATAAGACTAAAAACTTAACGTTTAAAAAGTGACATTTTTAATGAGCTCCGAGTCACCGAGAAAACTTGGTCAGATGTTAGCAGCTTACTTCCCTGAGGAGGATGGAAGCGTTACATACGTAAGGTTCAAAAACAACGAACCTGGAATTGCGTACCAAATTCGCGATTACATGACCGTGGAAGAGTACGAAAGGTTCTACAAGAGAAACCAGCTCTAAACAACTCAGAAGAAAGAATAAAAAGTTTAACTCGTAATTGTTTATTTTTTTACTTGTATGGGCAAGCTGCAAGAATGAAGTCGACTATCTCAGTCTTTGTCTTGACCAGTTGGACTGCTCTTGCGAGTACGTCTGTTTTGCGGTCTCCAGCTGGTGTTTGACCTTCGTAATTGCGCATGTTCTTGAGAGCTCCAACTGTAAATGGCTGTAAGATGAAGAGTCTCTCAGACTGCTTGAGGTAGTCGTCTCTGTCTTTGACCGAATCTGTGGTACGAGTCGAATCGGTCGATTTGAGGGAAGAGACTGAAAGCCTGTCGTCTTCCATTGGAGCTGTAGCATACTCTTTGCGTAAGCGGTTCAGACCTTCTTCGAAGTCTTGGTCTCTCTTCGATTGGGATTGAGATTGGAATTGCTGGGGTGGAGCTTGCTGGAACATCCAAGGGTTGGGGAAGTAAGGCATAAGCTGAGGAGGAGGGTAGTTCGGGAAGCCTTGTGGTGGGTAGTAACCTTGAGGTGGAAATTGGTAGTAATTTGGTGGAAGTACTTGCTGGAACTGAGGTTGCTGAGGAGACTGTTGTGGTTCTGCAGCTTTCGGTTTTTCTGGCTTTGGAAGGCATTCAGGAAGAGGAACGTCAGTCATCCGTTTGTGTCCTGTCGGAAGGAAAATATTTTCCTGTCGGAAGGAAGAACTTTTTCTGTCGGAAGGAAAAATTTTTCCTGTCGGAAGGAAAAACTTTTTCTGTCGGAAGGAAAAACTTTTTCTGAAGGTCGGCCAAAAAGTTCTCAATTTTCGAAAATTTGAATGGTTTACGGACGGACAACTGGAAGAGTTCTTCCTGTCGGAAGGAAAAATTTTTCCCTTTGTCCGGAAAATTTTTTCCAGTTGTCGGGAAAATATTTTCCTGTCGGATGGAAGAACTTGGAATGCAAGAAGGACTTGACGAGGCAATTTACCTAATTGAAATTAACGACTGCGTAAAAGACTACTTGCGCAAGGTAATGAAGCCCAAGGTCAAGTTCATCTCTATTTCTGGAAGGTCTACACTTCAGCTCGAGACTTCGACTGGAATTCCAATTCAAATACCAGACGGGACAGCCTACGATGGCATAAAGGACGCCAAAAGAGAAGCTCTTGTTAAGTTCCTAAACAAACGTCCTTGGATAAAAATACCAAACAAGGAGAACCCCCTACCCCATATGAAATTGGCAATTCAGTCTCTCCTTCACTTCTCGGGTCAGCCGTTCTACATAACCTGTGAAGGCGACATTCAGCCAGTTCTTCAGCCAGTTCAGTAAACATCTCATTTTAACTTCACTTTTTTTATGTTTTTACGCATGTGAAGAAGAAGCCTTCTGGTAAGTTTCTTATAGCCATATACATGGCACGCTTTGAGTAAAAACATTTTTTTCATTTTTGAATGAAGCAAGTTAAATTCGTCCCACACCAAACTCAATGGACCGATGAAGAGTTTCAAGCTATGGTTGAAGGTGTTGAGAACGACATAGACGGCGAACTTGAAGGAGCTCAAATCACAATTGCAACCAAAATTGCAGAAGTCAAGGAACAGATAGCTCCACTTAAAGCTACCAAAGCTACTCTTGACCTCATGGATAGTTACCGTTTAGATGTCAAGAGTGGAATAAGACAATTAAAATTAAAACTTCTAAACTACGAAGCTATACTCCAAAAGTTAGCAGAAATGAGAAGACTTTACCAGAGCTACTTACATGTAAGGGACTTACCTTCAAGCAATCCGACCAAAGATGAATTTTCTGACATTGTCCAATTTGTCCGAAAGTCAGCTCAGATGTTTTGAACTGCTCCCAACATATCCAGAATATGAACGTTTGCCTGAACTCTTCCGCAATCTCAAAAAACGTTTTTTGGTTCTCATGTTCGAAACTTTTATCGGAAGAGACAACAAACGTTCAGAAGAAGAACAAGATATTATTTTAAACTTGTTGTATGGCATAACTGTCATAACAAGCTTTTTGAAGTAAAACCGCCATTCTCAAACCACTTCATTTTTTCGATGTCCGAACAAGCACCGAAGCCAAACTCAATGGCAGATGCCCTTTCAAGGTTGTCAGACAAGCGCCCAGTTCAACTTCAAATTGTCCAATTGAACGCTCATCTGACAAACGCCATTAAGACTCTCCAAAGTAGTCTTATGACAGAGATGACCAATCTCAAAGGTGAGTTCCTCATGAACCAAGCTTCCAATGAGAAATGCCTGAACGATTTCGCGGAAACCTTGCGCAATTACGAGAGAGAGAACCGAGACCTTGCCAGACTCATCTACCGTTTCTTCGAAGAGATAGACGCCATCTGGAAGGTACTCGGAAAGGACAGAACATGCAACACCGTACTTCGTGAGTACCAAATTGAAGAAGGAATTTTCGAGGAAGAAGAGAAACACGAAGAAGAAGAGGAAGAAGAAGAGAAACACGAAGAAGAGAAACACGAAGAAAAGGAAGTTTGGGCAACCCTTGTTGCCGATGACGGTTACGAAATTTCCCAACCCTACCCATACAAAATCCGCAACAAGGAGACCGGCAAGGTTCTTACCCCAGTCCTCAACAACTTGGGACACTTGAGCCTTACCCTTCGGAATTACGGTACAATTTCCATGGGAAGGCTTGTCGGTATGCAATGGGTTCCAAATCCAAACAAGAAGACGAAGGTCAGACACATTGACGGTGACAAGCTCAACAACCGTAAGGAGAACCTCGAGTGGTTCTAAGAGTAAAAAAATTTTATTTTAGGGGGAAACCCCGAGTAAATTTAAGTTTTTAGTTGCATAAGTAGCTTAAATTAATGGTAATTTGGATAAGTAGTTCCTGACCTCTGAATTGGACTCTTTCGTCATCCCAGTTGCGTAGGAGGTCGTCCCAGAGGAGTTGGTAGAATTGCCAATCCAAGGACGATTTGTCCTCCCAGGCATTGAGGATGTACTGCTCGTAGAGTCTCATGACCTCTGCCTTGCACCAGACACCCTCCCCCTTGGAACGTAAGGCTTCTTCGAAGTGCTCGAATGCGATTGGCTGCGTGACCATCTGAAATGACACTTTTTGTCCGTTTGGTCAATGTTTGTGTCTCGTGCCATAGTCGACGAAAATACAGACAAACAGGTTATATATGAGTTTGAGACCAAGAATGGTGTAACTCGACCTGTCCGATTCAAAGACTCCGAGGGCGACCATGAAATTAAACGGAAATTAGCTAGGAAGGAATATAAAATGGACTGGTTGCCACCACCTTTACCTGTTCCTCAAGTAAATAAGCCTTTCACGTTCCCAAGAATTCCCACATTTAAATTCAAATTCGAATAAAAATTTTTTACTTCATGCAATGTTTTATTTCTGTGCCGTCTTCAAGTATGCCCCAATATTTCCTTTTCGATATTACATGAACTTCGGTGAAAATTTTGTCCAATTTGAATTGACCCATCTTTTCACCGACCATTCCCATTTCAATGAGTTTGTTGTATCCTTCTTCGTTCGTCATGAGTGCGTCAATGTTCTCATAGTAAACCTTGACTTTGGATTTGACTTCGGAGAAGAATTTGTTGTAGTTGTCAAGGACTGCCTTTGCGAACTGAGGGTAAGACCAATGTTCGACAATAGGTTTTAATGTGGTTACTAAGCCACTTTGACCTTGAGTGAATTCGTACTTCAAAACAAAAGGAGAAAACCTTTCAACAAAGTTGTCGACCTTCTCATAATGTTTACTCTTCATCTCTTGAGGTTTCTTAATGGAATATCCCCATGTCGAATTCATAAGCAATTTGAGTGTCATTGCAAGTTTGGGGTTTGAAGCTTTCCTAATATCATACAGTTGTTGTATGACTTTTCCAACTGTATAGTTCCTTCCCGGGAACTCACCATCTTCGTTTGGAATTCCAGTCGGAATATATTGGACAAACCTCATGTATGCAGCGTTAAGGTCGACATAGTATATTTTTTCATCTGAGTCGAACTTGTCGCAATGAATCGGTCCAGTTTGTGGAAATTCAAGTGAGTCTCGTATCTTCTGAGAAACTTCTCCTGTTATCTCATAAACATCGCCGAAGCAACCTGTTTCATATAAAACCTTCTGACCTAACTCAGAAGCTCTCCAATACAATTTGACGTCAATTGGATGTCTCAATGGAAGTTTGTTTATAGCATCTTGAAGTTCTTGCAACCTCATTGGAAGTTCTTCTGGTTCAGGTTGGTATCCGAACAATCCAACTCCTTTTGGAACTGTGTACTTCTTTTGTGCTAACTTTGTCTGGAACAACTTTTGGTCTTGCTAACAATGAAAAGTTTGTTTCGTCTTTTGGTACAAAAGTTTCTGTCAGCTTGTCATCTGGAATTGGTTCCAACAAACCTTTCTCGAAAAGAATGTTAACAGCTCTGACAATGTTGCACTTGCCTTTTCCGAACAATGGGTTTGTAAGACTTTCGTTCAACATGAAGTGGTTGTGGACAATTACAATCTTCAACCATGGTAAGTCTTTGTCAACAACATAGTCGTCATGTGAAGAACCTTTCTCAGTCGGAATGTTGACTCGGATATTGACATTTGCCAACGGTGCAATTTTTGCCAATTGACCTCTGAGCATGTACCTTGTCTTCACACATGACTCAAGATACTTCATTTTCTCATCTGTAACAAGACCAGAGTTCCTGAGACATGTAAGAATACAAGGTTCATTGACAATTGTTTCAATTGAATTGTAAATTCCATACCTTGTCAAGTCAATGTCAGACTTATTTCTGAACGGGAAGTATCCAGCATGTTGTCTGACTGCTTGAGGGTTAGGTTGGTACCATTCGAACTTCACGCTTGCAATTCCTTCAATTGCATTCAAAATGTCTGAGTCGGAGTCAACCATTTGTTCTCTCTTTGTAGTCTTGAAAGCGTCAAGAAGTTGTGCGGCTGTTGTGACATTGCCATGTGCATAGTAAATGTGACCATCCAAATCTGTTATGGTCAATCTGAGATTGTGTCCTTTCTTATTTCCGTCTTGAATTGCAGCAAGTACACCCATGAAGCCTTCTTTGTTCTTTCCTTCGTCAAAGTTTACTGTAAAGGTTCGACCAGATGTAATTTGACTTCTAACTTCACGATACTTTTCATATGCATATCTTGTTCTTTCCATGGGAGCATGTGCGTCTTCACCTTTTCCTTTTTTCCTTCTCAAAGGATGCAATTGTTCGTCATGTTTCCAGTAGAATCTGGCAAAGCCGTCGTGTCCTTCAACTTGAGGTTCACTAACATCGAAAGGCATGTCCATAAGACGTTCTTCTTCTAACCTCTCTAGTCTGTTTGGATAATTTGCACGTGCTGTTTCCAAATCCATTTCGTAGCGAAGACCAGACAATTTGTCATAGACTTTTATGGGTCTTCCCTTCCTATATTTAAACTTCTTCGAAACTCTCCAACCATATCTTTGCAACTCTGCTTTTATTCTAGCAGATTTTCTATCCATTCTATATGGGGGCATTTTTATAAAAATAAAAAAATATTTTTTCTTTACTTTACATAACCACCTGCTGCCATAAGTCTTTGACGCCAACCCATACCAGCTAATGAAGGTTGACTTGGTTTAGTTTGGAAACTAAACTTTGGTTTTGGTTTATCTTCAGTTTTTGGTTTTTCTTCTTCTATTGGTTTTTCGTCACTTTTCGGTTCCTCTGACTTTACCTCACTTGCTGGAACAGTTGTGTCGTCAACATCTTCATAAATATCATATGCCATTTGTTTTTGTTTTCCTTTCAACTTTTTGTGTTTGTTGTAAAGTTTAGAATATTTCGACTCTAAGTCAATGAGATGTTCTATAATGAACTGTTGGTCAGTGAAGTAAACTTTTCCATCTGTTGTCTCGAAAGCTCCTTCAGACTTCAATATTTTATTTGTGAGAGTCTGTTTCTTTTTTGAGATACTTGCCGTTCCATTTTTATGAAAAGTGACTTTGTAGTTAGAGTTTGTATTTCCAGACCTGGCACTTTCTATTATTGAATTTTTCTCTTCATCTGTAAGTTCTTTGACAGGTTTTGACAATGGTTCTGAACTTTTTGTTTGTGGTGTCAAATCTACCGTTTCAACTTCTTCGGTCATTTCATCTCAGTAAAAAATTTTAGTTTGGTTTGTTTTCAACTGGTTGTTGAGGTTTTTTATGTCGGTCTAAAACTTCCTGAGGTATAGGAAGAACTTGACAAACACGTAGTTTAACTGCTGGAAGCCGACAAATCCATCTTGAACCCATTTGTCTCAATGCTGTATTGTTCATTTCATCTCAGTAAAAAATTTTACATTCCCCACGTTTGAGGCGGTTGAGGTTGGTTGTTGTTTACCCACTGTTGTGCATGGTTATATCCTCTGTTAAAGAATCTTTCACCTTGGTCCATATAGTGTCCTGCTTGGTTATAGTAGTCATTTGCTTTGTTATAGTAGTTTCCTGCTTGTCTTCCTACATTGTCCATCCATCCTTGAACTTTTCCTCTTGTTTCAGGATTTGGAATAAGATTTGCTGCATCTCGTGCTACCTCCCAACCTTTCTGTACAGTTTGTATAATAGGTTGTGCTTTCTCTTTAAGTATACCTAATGTACTCAAAATCTTCCTTCCAACTCCAAATACACCTCTGGCTATTGTTCCCACTGCGGGCAAAAATCTAGATGCGACTCCTGCTAATGCGCCAAATAAACCCATTTCTTATGGGTTAAAAATGACGAATTCAAACAAGGACCCGTATGTTTCTAAAGCAACAAAGAAAGCACTCATGGTAAAAATCTTTAGTTCAACACCAAATGCTTGGTTTATGGATATCTTGGAAAACATTCCGAGGTATAGAGAAGATGGACCACCATACTGGCTAATATTTGTTGGTCAAAACACAAGATACTGTGAAGCCATACCATTATGGTCCAAAAATATTTTAGATGTGAAAACTGCTTTGACAATATTCGTTGACAAATACCATCCAACAAAACTGACATCTGACTGTGAAAGTTCTTTCAAATCAGACGATATTAAAAACTATCTGCGTTCAAAAAATGTAAACCAATATTTCATTGTCGACCAAAACCATTCTGCTCTTGGTGTCATTGACAGTTGTATAAAAATCTTAAGAGACTTAAACCAACCACAAGGTGGTGAGGTAGATGAAATGTCATATGACGACAAATATAGACACTTCTCCATGGCAAAGATGAGACAAGTTTTAAATATTTACAATAGCCGTAAACAAAAAGGTTTGGGAAACCACTCCCCCGAAGAAATGAAAAACAACCCCGACTTAGAGAAAGACTATATATTTAATAGTTTAGTCAAAAGAGACAAACAAGAAAGAATGCCGGGCTTCAAACTTCAGAAAGGTGACAAAGTAAAAATAGAAATACCTAAACGCGACCCATATGAAAATACTATTGACTATGACAACAATGGGAACCCGACAGGTACTCACATTCGTGTTCGTAAAAATAGAAGAAAGTATACAAGAGAATATTATGAAGTTTTAGGCAAACATGGCAAAATGTACACACTGCAAGCAGAAGATAAAACTACTATTGTCAGACCTCGTTTCAAACTTGTCAAAGTTCAAGGTGGTATACTTTCAAAGACAGTTCCTAACAAATATAAAACAACTCCTGACGAATATGCTAAAGAAGTTGAAAATGACGACTAAGCATTTCTATACCATGCGTAAACTGTCATGTAAGGTGGCATGTAGTCTTTACTTTGTCCCGTTGTTTGCGTATACCCTGAAACGCGATGTATATGGTTTCCTCCTCCCTCAGTGTTACTCCAGAAACAATCTATAGCAAACTTAACGTTGTTTTTAACATCATATCCTTTACCTTTTATCATTGCTGACCAATCCCAATATCTATGCTTATGCCAACCTGCTTGAGATGTACTTAAATCTATGTAGTGACTGTGCGCAGGTAAATTTGCACCTGAAATCGTTTTACTTCCACCTGTTTCCTTTGAAGAGTTTGCACAATACAAAAACCTGTCGACTATTTGGGTCCAAGTTCCAAAACCAAGTACTACTTCTGGTCTGGTAGAGTTCATTGACGTATAAATAGAACCTATAGGATATACTGTTTGAAGTATTTCTGTCTTTAATGTTTGAAGCTCTGTTTTGTCAGCTTTCTTATCTAACATTGTTGGTAGTTCATATGCTTCAAAGTTTCTGGCATGCTCTTCGATATTCCTGCAACTGTTATCTAAATTGTTAAGAGTATCTTTTACGCTTGTACTCGGATTCTCTGAAGGTGCACTTGAACCAAGGTCAAAGTTCAATACTATGTCGTCTGCTGTAAAAGTTGTAAAACTTGTATGTGTATGGTTCTTGTCAGCTTTAAGGTCTAAACATCCTGAAACCCATCCTGTATCGGCTTTAGATTTTAAAATCTTTGATGTCCGTTCATGGTACCATTCAACCATTTCTTTAATTTCTTTACCTTTTTCATCCACATATTCCTTATCTGCCTTCTTATCTAATGCACTAGCCACACGTGCTAACTCATCGTTAACATATTCTTTGTCAGCTTTGCCATCTAACTTTTCTTGAAGTTCATCTACGTCATAGATGTTATGTGTATGATGTTTTTGTGGGTATGTTCTTTCTGTCCATGCGAGAATATAGTCTTTTGTTGCATCTACATACTCTTTGTCAGCTTTGTTGTCAATATCTGCTTTCAAAAGAAGTTCATCTATAGGTTTCTCGTTTAAAGTTCCTTTTGTTGGATTTATACAGACAGTATGGTTCTTATTGTCTTGAAACAGAAACTCATCTGTCAATGGGTTTAATGTCAGTTTTAAGTTTCCTTCTTTCAATGACTCAGATATCTTAGAATAGTTTGAAATGTTTGTTGTGTTCTTATTTAGAGCTTGTATAATGAGTTGTCGGTTGTGTTGTATTTCTCTCATAGACGCTGTTTCTTTCGACATTTTTATTCTAGATAAAATATGCTTTCAATAGAAAAAGAAAATTCTAGAGTTGCTACAACTAAACCATTAGATGAACTTTTTACTAATGTCGGTCAAAAGTTTGAGACAGAGACCGTAAAGCATGAAGGCTATCGGTTTGACTACCCATTGAGATGGCTAAGAGACCCATCCGTCACAAAAGCTATTGGCTTTCGTAGAATAAAATTTGTGTCTGTAGAAGATAAAAGTTTTCCATTTATTGTAAGGTTTCATATAGATTATATATCTGAAGGGAAACGAAAAATGTGGGAAGAAATTGAGCTAATACAAGTTGACCTTTCATCTTCTCTACAGACTGCGTTAAAAAATATAGAAGATAAAATAAACTCATGTTATGCAAAATATGCTGATGAATATGCAAATACCAATAGCACACTTTATGTGAGAATTGTATATGACAAACAAAATTCACAAGTGTCATTTCAAATCTACGAAGACAATCCAAATAAAGACGAACAAATATATACAGAATTCACTGCAATGTCATGGTATTATTTGCAAAGAATGTTAAATCAGAAAGTCGAACTTCCTTTAGCAAATATTTACAGTCGATATGCAAGAGATGAACCATATTTATTTAAAGATGTTTTCGACTCAGATGCTATTATAGTTCATGCTTCATTTTCTGGTGCACAAAACTCTTTTTTATGCTTGGCAAATGACTTTTACGAAAAACCTACAAAGCTATATGAACCGCCGAGTGGAAGTATTTCAGACTTTCAAGTATGGTTTACTACAGATGGAAGAAAGAGAATAATTCCATTATACCACGCGTTTTACTTAGAACTTAGTTTCATATACAACTACTATCGAACGGTAAAAATATAATTTTTTAATACGGTTGAGGTGTTGGATTTGGTTGCCAACTAGACTGTGGTGCAGGTTCAGGCTGTTGTATAACAGGAGCTTGTTCTTCTGGTTCAGGGTCTTTAGGTATAATACCAACGAACTGACCTACTCTTTTACCAATATTTTTGACACCGTTCCAAATTCCTCTTCCGACAGATTTTATTCCATTCCATATACCTCTTCCAACATTTCGAAAGAAGTTTCCTATTCTTCCAAAGAAACCCATTTTACTATATGTAAAAATCTAATGTCCGCCTAGTCTCTTACGTTTCCTGTTGAGTTCCATAGCATTCTTTAACTGCAGCTCATACATTCTATTTCTCCTCTGGTAGAAAACATATTCCGGGTCAACTCCTGTGTTCGCGTCATCTGCATAGAGTTGTTTATATCCCACTTCAGGGTTTGTATAAAACTCTTTCCATCTCATATTTGCATACCATGGTGGCAAACCTAACGCAGCGTCATTTGACATGGCAGTTTGCATTTGTACATCTGTTGGCACTTGACCATAGTTTGCCATTGCAGTTTGTATTCTAACTTCATTTGGAATATTCTCTGGGTTTGGTTGTCCAGGTTGCTGTGCATTCGCTAAGTTCTGTGCGTCCATTTAATATTAGATAAAAATATCTCTTACGAGTACATATGCTGAACATTTGCAGACATTGGTTCATCTTCATATTCTCTATATCTTTCTGCCACGTCAAATAAGTAAATGACACAATGGAAAAAACCTAAAACAAGTAGTCCTATTTCAAACCACATTTACTTACCAATAAAATTTCTTTGTTATGACACTTTCTCCGGTTTATAGGACCTCTCTCATATTCTATCTTGTCATATCTAAACTCATAGTCATGTATGTCCTCTAACCATCTCATAACGGTTTCCAAACCACTTTTATCGGATGTAAAGTAAAAGCATGGATGGTTATGTAAAACGTCTAAAGTTTCTAAAGAGTCTCTCAAAGTCCAGTCTACTTGGTATTGAAAATCCCATGTGTTATAGAATGGCGGGTCCACTATAAAGAAAACATTTTCCTTGTCTTTATATTTTTCATACAACTCTGTCCAACGACATCTCACAAACTCTATACCCTCAATATATTTTTCTATGTTCTTTTTGAAAACCTTTGTATAGTTAAGATATAAAACTTTTGACATAAGTGTTTCAATGTCATGAACTCTTATAGAACCACTATATAAAAGTCTAGCAGATATACTATCCCAGTCAATATATTCTGCTTTTTTCAAAACCTCTCTCACAATATCTTTCTTATCTAATGGTATACTTTCCATCTTACCTATAGGTATCTTTTCTTTTAACTCACTCAATATTTTGTTTGTGTCTGGTATATGTTTGAGACGGTTCATATAGTTGTCGAAGTCATTGCATATAATCTTTGAGTCTGGGAATACGGTATGGCACAAATGAGATATATAGAAACTTCCACCGAACAAATCTACAAATGTTAGACCATTCGGTAGTTTCTTAAGTTCTCTCAATAGAATATCTTTACATCTACTCTTATTTCCAAAGAAGGGTAACGGTGGTTTTGTAAAATTCATTTATATATAATAATAAAAATGTTTTTACCTGAAAAGTGACAGAAAGTGACTGGGGCTAGAGGGCACGAAGTGCCTGGAAGCCCCACTCCTTTTTTTTTTTTTTTTTTATTTCAAATAAATTATTCCCTCATAGAGAGCAATTTTATTTTCCCAAAATTTAACGTAAATCAAAAAAAGAATTGAAATTATTACAATTTTTCTTGTAAATCTTATAATTGTGATTTTTTTTGGAAATTTAGATAAACAAAATTATAGTATTTTTCACGTATTTATCAATTATCTTCTTAAATTGCTAGTAAATTCACACGTTTTATGAATATAATTTCATTTGCCCTTTTTTTCCGTTGAAAATGATTACCATGTATTCACAAAAAGTCCAATAATATTATTATTTGAGGTTCAGCTCTTGATATTGAAGCAAGTAAAAATTAGTGCTGGTAAAATTATGATAAACCATCGAACTATGATATGTTATATCACTAAAATTCATTTATGCTTGAAAAGTTCATTTGTTAATAATATTTTTTTATTTTCTAAAGGTAACTAAACTCCTTTCGCCGATCCGATTTGCTCCATATTTAAAATATAGCTTGCATATGTAGAAGAAAAGCTAATTTTGAAGTACGCCCGAAATCCACCAACAGGATTTCGAGCTACTAAAAAGGTACTTTTAAATGTGATTTTTTTTATAAAAAATTAAATTTATTTTAAGATCAGACTAAAAACTAATTTTATGGAAAATCTATATCGACAAATTTATTACTTATTGGGTATATAGATTTTTTGATTATGGCGATTATGTCTGATATGCTTCCAATAAGCCAAAACAGTGTTTTGGGAGTGATTAAATACAAAAAAATCTGGCGATGCTTTACGTGGCAAATGGTCGAATGGTTATTACCCCTTACTATTGGGTACCGGGGACGCTAGTTCGAAACTGATGCACTATATTTTTTTACAAAATGCGTTTATTAGGACAGGGTAAAGAAAGGTTGCCAATATAATATATTTAAATAAATACAACTAATCTAAAAAAAAATATTGGGGCTTCCAGGGCTGCGCCCCTCTAGCCCCTGAAGATGTTTAGTATAAAATGCAGTTTATATAAAATGAGGTTTTTTTTTGGGTGAAGGGGGCTTCCCAGGCACTTTGTGCCTTCTAGCCCTTAAAATTTTTGAAAGTCGTTGCTGTTGACTTTTCGGTAGAGGACTCAAAATAGTAGAACTATGTCCGGACAAGTAAGGGTCTATCGTCGCTACGTCACCAGGTCCCTCGGTCCCTCGGTTAAACGAACTTCTCTGAAAAAATGAGACAACATGACATTTTGACAACAGTCCAGGAAGTCATGACAAAACATTTACGAAGAAGTCTTTACGAAGAAGTCTCAACAAGATAGAATATGAGAGAGGTCCTATAAACCGGAGAAAGTGTCATATAAACATCTGTCAAAAGCCGCTTTTTAACTTCACTTAAAATGCCACGTAGGATACGTAAGAATATACGTAAGAGGAAGAGAGCATTGAAACATCCAATAGTAAGACTAACACCACAACAACAGTTGCAACAACAAATGCTGAATGACCCCACTATGTTGCAACAAATGTCAAGCAATCCTATGCTTTTAAACCGAGTCATTGGTGCACAGAGTGGAGGTTTAAGAGCGGCACTTTTAGCGAAAATGGCAGGCTATGGTGGAGCTGCAGACGGAACAGCCTATAACCCTCAAAGTCAAATGAATTTGAGTTCACTCAAAAATCAAATAACAGATGTCAAAAAGTCAAACATAGACATACAGAAGCAAATAAGTGAAAACGAAAAGAAACTAGAATATGACAGACACACAAAGAAACTCAATGAGTTAAACGTAGAGAAAAAGAAGAAAGAAGAACAACTGAAAGAACTAAGTACAGAGCAATATGCGAAAAAAGTGTCAGAAAAAGCAGCAGAAGTAGCAAAAATGGAACAAGATGTCATAAATTTGAAAAACCATACTACTCAATATAAAGTACTGAAAGATGAAGAGATAAAACAAAAAGCCCTGAAGACATATATGGATAGCGATGAGTATAAAAAGGAAGTTGAAGCAAATGTAAAGGCAGAAAAACTTTTACAGTTGCAAAACCAAACCGTACAGTATGAAAACTTAGCACAAGAAAGTAAAAATAACGACGCGGCTATGCAAAAGGCAATGAAAAGCGCAGAGTATATAAAAGCTAACAATGACTGGTTAGATGCCCAAGCCAACGCTAAAGCAGCCCAACTTATAGGGTCAATAAGGACAAAAATACAAGCGGATGAAGACAGTTCAAATGAAGCTTTAACAAATGCTGACTTTAAGAACGCCTTCGAAGCTCTTCATAGTAAGGTGAAACAAGTGAACGACTTCTCATCTGGAAAGAAACTGAAGTCTGAAGGTTTCGACAAAGAGTTAAAAGAAGTAGCACAAAATATGACGAAAATAACAGATGCAGCAACGAGACAGGCAGTTCAAAGTGCCTATGACGCCGTTAGAGCAACTGTTGTGAAAAGTCAAGAAAAAGAGTTACAACAGACCAAAACAGACCTAGTAAATGCTTTCTTAAGAACGAAAAGTCAGGTAGGACATTACGCTGCAGATGGAACATATGTGCCAGCTGGTGGAATTTATATACCACCAAACCCTCCAAGAGAAGCACCTGCACCAGGACTACCTAGAACATTTACATCGTCACATGGACACAGACACAGGCATGCACCAAAACCAACACAACAACCACCTCCACAACCAGCACAACAACCACCTCCACAACCAGCACAGCAACCAACAGTTCAAAACCCTGCACAACAACAACCACAACCAGCACAGCAACCAACAGTTCAAAACCCTGCACAACAACAACCACAAACAGAGCAAGGACATAAAAGAAGTAGAGAACAAGGAAACCAAGAATTCTTAAAAATGCTTAAAGAAGAGTATGGTTACCCAGATACTCTTGACTTTAGTGACAGATATAAAGAAGCTATTAGAAAGTTCAATGAAGGAAATACTGACCCGAACCTATTTAGCTTTATGGCTCAGCACCATAAAGGATATAATCTCAAACCTGGAAAATACAAGCTCGCTAAGGGATATGATTTAATAGCATATCATCCAAATGACATGAACGAATTTACTCCGAGATATTTGGTGTCAGAGCTAAATGACAATACAACTCTCTTCATGAAACGCGTAAAAAATAGAGACGGAACGAAAGAAGAAAGGTTTATGAGTCCGGATGACTTAGATAGGGAAATTGTTGAAAACGGTCTCGGAATATATGAAATGCCAGCAGATGAGGTACAAGAAACTCCACAGGAAGAAGTTCAGATACAACCAGACATGGAAGAAATAGTTCAGCAACAACAGCTAGAAGAGCCTGAAGGAAACGAACAAGTCCCTCCTTTGGAAACTAACTTCACAGAACTAGATGAAGATTTGGAACAGCCGAAAAATCTTGACCCTCAACAAGAGTATGCGGAGAATATGGAATCTTTCCAAGAGTATAAGAAAAATTCGGCTGACATAGTAGAAGAATATCGAAAAATGTTTGCCGACATACAAAAGACTCCAACACCAGATGAAAATATTCAGCATAGAATGGAAGTACTGAAAGAAAATGTAAGCAAATACAACAACCCTTTTTACTTACGACCATTTAACGTTCAATCTTCGGATGAACTCGGTGAAAATAAAAGGTTAAATTTCAAGAAAACATATAGAAATGAAACATTGTTTAAAGTTCATTCAGAACCTAACCAAGATGGAAACAAACCTACTTTTGTTTCTGCAGACTATGGAACTACAATGAGATGGGGTCATAAAGCTAATCCGGATAGGTGGTTCATAAACTTACAACCACAATTCCAAGAAGTTGTAGACGCAATGGAATTGAATGGTGAACGAGATATAGCTGGTATTTTAAGCGCGGCTTTAATGCCATTGAAAGATATGAAACATGCAGATATTTTGGACCAGTATGAAATGAACATGGCTGATGGAAATATAACACCTGACGTTCTAGAACATTTATCTCAAAGAACTACACAGAACCATAGAGATGGTATATTTGGTGAAGAGTTTAGAAAGAAAGTTAGGGAGAGAGAAGGAAGAGAACCTATTGTACATGACCTTGCAAACGAAAGTTTACAAAATGTCATAAAAACTTACTTTGCAGACGATGAACTGAGAAGGGATGAATATTTAAGAAAACTCAAATGGACAGTACAAATGAAATGTTAGTATTGAAAAACATGTTCCTTGACAAAATAAAACCAACTACAGAAATAAATGACGAAAGATTGAAAGATTGGGTAGAAGCTTTCCCATTCACAAAAGATATTGTTGGTAACATGGAAAGAAAACCAGAATGGCTACAAAAACATATATTTGGAAACGAGCTTATTCCATATGGACAGGCACTGTTTGAAGAGCTTGAACCGGAAACTCAGGAAAGAGTCATGCAAACAATACGCAAAGACTCAAATACAAACTATGACAAACTCTTTCTAGGATATAGGTTACCTGAGATGGGCGACCAGAGCCCAAAGGCAAAAAGGACATGGGAAATTTACAACATACTAGGTGAACATGAGGCAAAGATGCAACAACTTGAAGCAGAGGGCAAGTTACCAAAAGTGACACCAAAGAAGAAGAGAAGAGAAGAGTAGAACAAAGTGAAAGTAGTGAAGAAGTAACTTCATCTAGTGAAAGTAGTGGCAATGAAAGAAAAAGAAGAGTTAAAAACTCAGTCAGGAAGAAAGTAAAGCTTGGTCGGAGTGGGTTCTATTATGACACATAAATCCAACTATTCTATATTTTTACACATATGAAATGTACGCCGCTCAGAATATAACGCCAAAGTTTTGGATGCCATGAATGGAAATGTTTCCGAATGGTATAACGAATGCGACAATGCCATTAGAAGGTCAGAAATAGTTCCTGGAACTTACGAATATACAACTGCTGTTTCTTATGGAAACGTAGGTGAGTTTGGAGAAGGTTCTTCAACAACAGTAGATATTGCTTGCGACAGGTTTCATATTATTTCTATTGACAACTCATTCTTATACGTGGAACAAGACATTGAAATAAAACCTTCTGCCAAGTTGTCTGACAAGAAAGGTTGCAATGGAATTTTCTATGTCGGATACCAATATGCTCCAGAAGTTTTCATGGGATATAAGATATATTCTAACTCTGACTTAGTTCAAACAGTAACATGGGCAAACTATGAATGGTTCGCTTTGAGAAACTCAGTACAACCACAAGCTAGAGAACAAACAGACCAGTATGCAACTATTGAGAAAATAAGAAGACTTGACCCTAACGTTCCAGGAGTTTATGTTAACCTTTCTGGTTCAGATGGAACTGCAGTAACCAAAGTAAAATTGAAACTTAGAGTTCCTTTGTCATCTTTCCTCATCTTCAGGTTTTTAAGATACTTGCCAAACTGGGCAGGAAAAATTTCTATCGAACTTACTCCAAGCAAAAATAACTTAGTCATTGCACCAACGCAAGACCCATTCAGCATTGCTGTAGCTGGAACTGGTGGAGCCAAGTTCTGTGACTTTTGCAAAGACAAAGTTGACTTAGACTTTGGTTTCTCAAACCTCAACACTGAAGTAAACTATTATTTCAATGCTGCTGGAACTGCTTGGACCCAGTTAAGTTCACATGCGAAAAGTTTGAATGCAAGAGAATAGAAAGCAGACTTGCAGTCTATATGTTGGACCCAGATATTTCAAATGCTTTAGCTGCCAAATATATTGCAGTTCCACTTATGTTCCCTATACACCAAATATCTGTCAAAGACTTTGCAGGTGAAGTTGGAAACCAAAGTGCTGACCCAGGTGCAAGAACAGATATTGCTTTAACAACTGCAATGAAACATGCAGATACTCTGTTTGTACTGTTCAGACGAACTATAAATGACTATTCTTGTTTCTACAACCCCGGTATTAAATATCATATAAACATAGATGGCAAATATTATCCAAGAGAAGAATATTCTACAGTTGAAGATATGAGGTCATACAACTTGACATTAGATGCTATGAACTTTAACAACAACTTCACAACAACCATTAACCCTGAAATGCAAAGTTCTATTATGCCATATGTGAAAGTATGGACTCATGCAGGAGCTCAAAAAACTCAATATACAAATAGAGACCGTTCAAACTTTTGGCTGGCATTCCATTTGCTGACTCAGAAGACTTTATGGGTGGTATTTCAACTGTTGGTACAGTTCAAATACAATATACTGGTGACAGAGACGGTCCAGATGAATTGAAAGCAAAGAAGTTTACAAAACCAATAGCACTTTTCACGGAAGATGCTCTTTTGAAGATTCGTTCGATGAAACCTGCTGGGGCTCCTCAGATTGGTATAACGACAGCTTCCATCGAGCAGATTTTGGCAGCAGGTCAGTAAGTTGTTCTTGAACTGACTTCTCTCCGTCAAATATTGACAGTACGCCAGTTTTGACATAGTATTGTATTATAAACTTACCTTTAGAAATATCGGTCAGTTTTGTTGTTATATTTTTGTCAACGTCAAGAACTTTCACCATTTCAGTTATACCAACTTTCTTTGCTTTATGAAAATATTTTGGTTCAGCAAAGACTGCTATTCTATAACATTTTCCATTGTTTGTGTAAAGAACTACTCTGTCAATGTATTTGTACTGTTTGTGTGTGTAAACTTTGTTTTGCTTCAATTCGAAGAGATACTCAAATACGTCCATCTTTTTATTCTAAGTAAAATGTCATTTCCGAAAAATAGAAGCGTAAGTGTTTCAAAAGGTTTAATGGCGGTGGCAGACGTGAAGTTAAATTCACCAACTCAAACAAACAGTCAAAGTGTTGTTGTCAATGTCAAAGAAAGAGATGTTGAAGTGGGGAAACCATACGAAGACGAAGATGGTATAACAATAGTTCCTGTAAAAGAACAACCAACATATCCTGAAGTTAGCAGAGACTTAAGTTCTGTTGCAGATATTCGAAACGACTACCAACAACTTAAAGACAAACTTAAAACTCAGGAGAAGATTTGTCAGGCTTTGGGTATAATGTTAAACTTGGTTGAGCACAACCCTGTAAAAGTGAACTCATATGTCATCGCACCTCATGAAATTTTGAAAGAACTATTGAAACTTTTGACAGAGGCAGACGATATAAACATCAAAGAAATAGAACCCGACATTGCTTGCTGTGGTGTTTCATATAATATCATTGACAAGATATACGTTATGAAAGGAGGTGAAACGTTGAACTTAAAATATAGTTTCCCAGACGTCATAAAAATATTTGACGACCACAACATTTCATTAAAATTTACTTGCTAAGTAAATGGCAAAACTTCTTGAAAGATGTTTGAAGAAAAACAATATAGACTTTATTTCATGTAAAGGACTTTACACACTTTTGAACGATATGAAAGACCCTGTTTTGTTTGTTCGTGTAGACAAAGGAAAGTTCTATGTCTTTACAAAATATTTGAACTTCTTAGACAGAGAACTTCAAGAAACGCCATGTGAAAGTTTAGATGAAGTTCTTCTCCACTTTCAGAAAAACTTTTAAATATATGTAAATGGCAGAAGACATAGTGGTTTATACTATTACGACTAAAAACCCTGAGTCATATAATTCTATAACAACAAACTTACAAAGTCCTCAAGGACGATATTGTAAACTGACCTTAAACACGATGACGACTAAAGCCTGTTTTTGCTCTTTTGACACCAGAAGACTTTGTTGTTGTGAATGGTAAAAAATACTTCTTTGAAGATACTTACTCAGATATACCACCAACAGGTTTTGTTGACTTATTTAATACTTTAAGGACGGATGTAACATGTGCTGCAACTAGAGCAGGTTTCATTATGTTTGGATGTCCGACTGAGTTTAGTATAAACGATATGAGCTATAATACAAAACTTATATCTGGTTTTTACTACCAACAGTTTCCTAAACAGGAAAAGGTGTCATACAAGGTCTATCTGTTCCATTGACTTTAAGTACACCTATTTTATATATTGTTTCAAACTTAGGTTCAAAGTGCTATTCGAATATCGACAGAAACTACTATGACCAAAAGATACTCATGCGTATAAACAACACTTTCTCTGCTGGTCTGCCTATTGTTCATTCGAATGCAGAGTTTTCAGCTTTAGTAAACTCAAACACTTTAGCAAACATAAACTTAACCTTAGTTGACGCAAACTTTGTTCCTGTAAAACTTTTATGTCCTATGTATTTGTCAATGACGGCAGAAAGTTTCGAATTGGAAGATGCAACTGGTGAAAGTATTGTACTACAAGAACAACTTCAACAACAAATAGCTCAAGAACAACAAATGCAACAAATGGAACAAATGCAACAACAAAGTCAAGAATAAAAAAAACATTTTTTTTATTTTTATAAAAATGTACAGAATAGATGTTTCAGATTTTTATGACTTCCAAGCGTTCAGAAATATGTGTCCATTTAGAGACTATAACAAAGCAGTCGAGAATTTGAAACGTTTAGTCATTTATGTCGACTCTGCCCCAGAATGTTATGTCATGAAAGAATGGGATGTTGTCTTTAACAAACCTAAAGCGACAATAGTTTCAGAACAAGAATGTAAACAGAAACTTAAGAAAATAAAAGTCGTACAAGTTGGTATGAAGATGTTAGATGCTTGGGATATCTTATTGTCAAAACTTGAAGATTTTTCAGTTCGTGGTATAAAGTTCTATACACCATCTCCAAACTTCTATTCTATCTTCACTGGATATAAATACGAACAAGTAGAATGGAAAGAAAATGTTATAGAAGCTTGGTTAGACCATGTCAAAGAAATTATATGCAATGGAAACGAAAGAGTCTATGAGTATATCTTATGTTGGTTTGCAAACATCTTACAACATCCAAGTGCTAAAAATGAAACTGCTCTCATCATAATTGGAAAACAAGGAACAGGTAAGAACACTTTCTTTACAGATATCTTATGCAAACTGTTAGAGGGCTATTCGAACCCGAATATGACAAACTTAGAAAACATCTGCGGTAAATTTAACTCTTCAATAGAGAATATGAAACTTATAGTATGTAACGAACTTCAAAGTATAGATACAACAAAAGTTTTGAACTCAGATGCTTTGAAGAGTCTTATAACAGACAAAGTTGGAGTTGTTGAAAGAAAGTATAGAGACCAAAGAGTTTGTGAAAATGTTGCAAATTTCATTATGGTTTCAAACAACGCCGTTCCGATGAAGTTAGAAAGTTCTGACAGAAGATATGTAGTTGTCAGAACGTCAGATTCTCATATGCAAGATACAGAATATTTGACGACTTAGCAGAAACTTTGACATCTGACTTTTACAACCACTTGTTCTCATATTTCATGACATTAGATATTTCAAAGTTCAATCCAAGACAAATTCCACATACCGAAGAGAGACAAACATTGTTAGAAGCAAACAAGAGTGTATATGAACTGTTCATAGATGAAACTGACTTTGAGTGTTTAGATGAAAGGTCATTGTACGATTCGTATAAACAATATTGTCAAGAATATGGTTATATGACAGCGTCTAAACGAACATTCTTGGCAAATGTCAAAAGTCTTTTAGACGTACAGAATGGTGTATATACAAAGAAAAATTTTTCTGAGTAAATTTTAAAAAAAAATATTTTTTTATCCGATAGAAAAGATGACAAAATTCATCTCAGTAAACAAGTACATGTCAGGACTTAAAGAAGAACTAGACCCATTCACATATTTGAATGTTTACTTCTACCATTTTGAAAAGTCTTCATTCAGCAAAGTTTGGAACATCGAACCAGTTAAGTTTGCTATTGTGACTAAAAATGGTGCGAAATTTGAAGACTTAGACATAGAAGGTTTGTTAACAGTCAAAGAAAGTTTTGACAGAAGGTTTTCAAACCTTAAAGAAGGCAAGCATACAAACTTGTTATACCTTATGAACCAAAGAAAGCAGACGACTATGAATATTATGAGTCTAAGATAGTTGAAGTTCAAGGTAAATTGGGTAAAAAGATTTTTAGAGTCTAAGCCAGTGTTTACTCCTAAAGAGGAAGAGAACATTGACATTGACCCAGAAATGTTCTAAAAATAAAATTTTATTTTTACATGTCAAATTTCTTTTTCTCTGGCTCTGGTTCTTTTCTTCTCTTCTTCTACTTTCTTTCTTTCTTCTCTCTCTTCTTCTCTCTGGTGGAGTTATGTCAAATTTCTCAGAACCATATTTTTGTAAAAGGTCTTTGTCCTTTAATAGCTCTTCTATTCTGTTTTCTATTTCATTTTCAAGAACAGCGCATGTGTCTTCTTTGCATTCTAAGAAGTTTTTGTTGGACTTCATCTCTCCAAGAGGCGTCATCTCTGTCAACAAGTCTGTCATTGACAAATTTTAAGACTTCTCTGCTTAACGTTTTATGGTTCTTGTCATATTCCCAGAAACAGAACTTTAGAACAAATTCCCCTTTCTTGTTTACACTATGTAAGATTTTATGGTCTACAGATGTTTTGCTGTCGAAAAGCTTGTCTCGAATATAGATGGCGAAATCGCTAGACATTTCCTAAAAGATAAAAATTTTAATTTTTCTAAAAATATGTTAGAAAAAAAGTTTGCTGACATTGACAAAAAATTTGAGAATGTTTTAAATAAGAACAAGAGGAAGTTGGAAAATGCTCAGATAAAACCCATACATGACAAGTTTTATTTGCTCAGAATGGTATAAACAGGTCTAATTGCACCACCTGGGTCGGGCAAGACTTTCACTTATCTTAAAATGGCTGCACAACAACAAGAACTAGATGAGAAGAACCCATTCTATGAGTTAGTAGTCATTTGTAGTACTTCTGGTCAATTTGACCAAACCGTAATTCGTTCAAAGAGATATTATAAAAAAGTCTAAGTTAGTATCTATAAAAGACTCTGAGTTGTTAGATTGGATAAAGAAGTACCAAAGAAGAGTTTTGAAGTACAATGCTATAAATGAGTATATAAACTCGAAGTTTAAAGACCCAAATGAGGAAATGCAGAGAATATTAGAGAAGAAACACTTCAGAAACAAACAGAAAGAGATTGAGTACCTTTCGAAGAAATTGCAATCTTACGATTGGAAGACTTACCCTCACAGATGTCTTCTTATCTTAGATGACTTTGCTTCTCATCCTTTGTTAAAGAACAGAGAACAAGACATGTGTCGAATTCTTAAGAAGCTCAGACACTTTAACATTTCAGTTGTCATTTGTGTACAGACAGCCAAGAGTTTAAGTAAGGATGTAAAGAGAATACTTACTGACATTGTACTTTTCCCCGGATTGTCCGAAGACGATTTCATGGAACTTATGAAAGAGTCCATGGCAGGTAAGTTTGACAGACATGAACTATGGGAGAAGTACAAAGTCATACAAGACCCTCATACTTCTTTCAGAATTCACATCTACGCGAACAAAGTTCAAATTGTAAAAAGTCAAGCTTGAAAAATGTAAGTGTTGAGTCTTAGTCTGCTTGTTTGAAGTTGTCAAAATACTCTGTTATTTTCCTGTCGGAAGGAAGGACTTTTCCTGTCGGAAGGAAGGACTCGGAATGTCGGAAAGAAAAACTTTTCCTGTCGGAAAGAAAAACTTTTCCTGTCGGAAAGAAAAACTTTTCCTGTCGGAAGGAAAAACTTTTTCTGAAGGTCGGCCAAAAAGTTCTCAATTTTCGAAAATTTGAATGGTTTACGGACGGACAACAGAAAAAATTTTTCCTGTCGGAAAGAAAAACTTTTCCTGTCGGAAAGAAAAACTTTTCCTGTCGGAAAGAAAAACTTTTCCTGTTGGAAGGAAGGACTTTTCCTGTTGGAAGGAAGGACTTTTCCTGTTGGAAGGAAGGACTCGGAATGCCAGAAGGAAGGACTCGGAATGTCGGAAGGAAGGACTCGGAATGCCAGAAGGACTCGGACAAGACAATTTACTTTATAGAGCTACCTGAGCCATCTTTGGTGTCAAGCTTGAAAAATAAATGGTTCATTTACTCTTCCTCTTTGAAGTTGTCAAAATACTCTGTTATTTTTTCCTTCAGTAGCGGTAAATCTTCTTTGAATGTAAGTATTGTACAACCTTTCATATCATAGTGTGTTTGAGGTAACGTATCTTGAACTATCTGTTTAACATCTTCATTTGGTGTCATTGAAATCGGTAAGTTTTCGCGATAGAACAATTTCTGTCAGATTTGTAAATCTTAGCAAGGTCGTAAAAGCTTTTGTTGTTTCTTCTGACTAAATGCAACATAACCATATCTCTGTCTTCTTCATTTTCCATCTCTTCAGTGTAAATCATATACTTATAGTTCTTTTCCTTTCCTTTTGGTACCGAACGTGGTATTCTTTTCTGTATGTTTTTGTCTTCTTTCATCATATCTTCTCTCTGCTTTGTACAAAGTTCGTCAAGAAGTTTTACAAACATACCATGCATAGCGAGGTGAAGCCCACATTGCTATTGAACTAACTAGGAACTTATGAACATATATACCTTTTAGATGCGATGGTAAGTTTTGTCTGTCTTGGTACATCTTTTTAAGTTCTACATGTTCAAACTCACTGAGGAGTTCAATAGTGTTTTGGTTCCTAAACCAGTCTTGTGGTTTCTTAGTATCTGGAGCAAAACATGCTGTCAAAATACTTTGCATTTGGTACATGTCATCTTTGACCGAACGAATGAGACGTAACTGTTTGTTAAACTGAACCCACTCGTATTCTTCATCTATGGCTTCATGAACGATAGCAGTTGTTGTGTTCTCTGATGTTGACATTTCTGTTCTTACATACAAAATAAAAAATAAAATAAAAATAAAATTAGCGTTATTTTCTATCTTGTATAAAAGACCAAAAATAAACGCTTTACATGTATTTTTCAGCAACTTCGTCAAATAATTTTATAGCTTTGTCGATCTCATCTACTTCAAACGTTTCTTTACCTTTCATGGGAGCACCATACATTTTCTCAAACTTTTCAAGTAGTTCTGTTTCTGCAGCTCTCATATCATTTACAAACACAACCTTAACTCTATTGACTATACTGTCATATCTTTGAGTTATATTAAATGTTCTTCCTATCTTATATCTCTTTGTATTGAAGTCCTTCGGTTTCTGAACGATGTAAAGTAAGCCTTCACTGCAACGTTCAGTATCGAATGAACCATATGTTATGAAATTATATCCAACAGGGTCAATCCATAACAAAACTAGTGGTATAAGACTTTTGTCTATAAGATATGCTGTAGTTCCATGAAATCTTACCGATATCAAAAGCTCAGGATTTCTTGTCAAAATTTTCTGAGATGAAGCATTTTTAACCCAGTCCTTTGCTCTCTTTCCAGATGGTGTTAAAATGTCTGACAAAGAATATTTTTTGTATTTCTTTGAGTATCTTACGTTTAAATCACCTATTCTAACCACTTTGGTGTCATTGTCTATCTTTTTAACTGTTTCAAACTCAATGTTTGTCATTTCCTGTTCTTACATACAAAATAAAAAAAAATATTTTAAAAAAACTAGCGTTAATTTTATTTTTTCTATCTTGTATAAAAGATATGATTTCATAGAGTTTTTTTACGATTTTCATAGAGTTTTGGCTACCCCTGTAAAAGTCGGGGTAGCAAACATATGAGGAAATTCATGAAATTTGGTCATTTTTTCAGCAAAAATATATTTTAGGTGGAACAGGTCCTCGTCCCTCGGTCAACTAACATCTTTTTGAAAATAGTGACAACATGACATTTTGACAACAACACAGGAAATATACTTCATCGTAAATGTTTTGTCATGATTTCATCGTCAATGAGCGTAAATCAGACAAAAATATATTTTAGGTGAAGAGGTGAGATCTCACCCGTTTTCTCACCTCTTTTCTCACCCCACATGTCCTTACTGAAAAAGTACGTGTTCCATATACCATTTTACTCAGAATT